ACTACTTAAAAATTTAAATAAAATTCTCTATTCTTTAGGATTGTGTAGGGTTCAGTCCCTACTAGAACTCAGGTAATTTTCAGATGATTAGAATTCCTAAATTTGGAATAAATAAGTTTTTAATGACTTTTTACTAAATTTTGATTGTCTGATAGCGTTCGGGTGAGGGTGCTACTACTTAAAAATTGAAATAAAATTCTGTATTCTTCAGGATTGTGTTGGGCTCAGTCCCTACTAGAACTCAAATAATTTTGAGATGATTAGAATGCTAAAATTTGGAAGAAATAAATTTTTAATGATTTTTTTCCAAATTTCGATTGTCTGATAGCGTACGGGTGGACCTGCTACTACTTAAAAATTTAAATAAAATTCTCTATTCTTCAGGATTGTGTAGGGTTCAGTCCCTACTAGAACTCAGGTAATTTTCAGATAATTAGAATTCCTAAATTTGGAAGAAATAAGTTTTTAATAACTTTTTACTAAATTTTGATTGTCTGATAGCGTTCGGGTGAGGGTGATACTACTTAAAAATTGAAATAAAATTTTGTATTCTTTAGAATTGTGTAAGGCTGAGTCCCTACTAGAACTCAGGTAATTTTGAGATGATTAGAATGCTAAAATTAGAAAAAATAAATTTTTAATGATTTTTTTCCCAATTTCGATTGTCTGATAGCGTACGGGTGGACCTGCTACTACTTAAAAATTTAAATAAAATTCTCTATTCTTCAGGATTGTGTAGGGTTCAGTCCCTACTAGAACTCAGGTAATTTTCAGATGATTAGAATTCCTAAATTTGGAAGAAATAAGTTTTTAATAACTTTTTACTAAATTTTGATTGTCTGATAGCGTTCGGGTGAGGGTGCTACTACTTAAAAATTGAAATAAAATTTTGTATTCTTTAGAATTGTGTAAGGCTGAGTCCCTACTAGAACTCAGGTAATTTTGAGATGATTAGAATGCTAAAATTAGAAAAAATAAATTTTTAATGATTTTTTTCCCAATTTCGATTGTCTGATAGCGTACGGGTGGACCTGCTACTACTTAAAAATTTAAATAAAATTCTCTATTCTTCAGGATTGTGTAGGGTTCAGTCCCTACTAGAACTCAGGTAATTTTTAGATGATTAGAATTCCTAAATTTGGAAGAAATAAGTTTTTAATGACTTTTTACTAAATTTTGATTGTCTGATAGCGTTCGGGTGAGGGTGCTACTACTTAAAAATTGAAATAAAATTTTGTATTCTTTAGAATTGTGTAAGGCTCAGTCCCTACTAGAACTCAGGTAATTTTCAGATGATTAGAATTCTTAAATTTAGAAGAAATTAATTTTTAATGATTTTTATCCAAATCTTGATTGTCTGACAGCGTACGGGTGGACCTGCTACTACTTAAAAATTTAAATAAAATTCTCTATTCTTCAGGATTGTGTAGGATTCAGTCCCTACTAGAACTCAGGTAATTTTCAGATGATTAGAATTCCTAAATTTGGAAGAAATAAGTTTTTAATGACTTTTTACTAAATTTTGATTGTCTGATAGCGTTCGGGTGAGGGTGCTACTACTTAAAAATTGAAATAAAATTTTGTATTCTTTAGAATTGTGTAAGGCTCAGTCCCTACTAGAACTCAGGTAATTTTTCAGATGATTAGAATTCTTAAATTTGGAAGAAATTAATTTTTAATGATTTTTATCCAAATTTTGATTGTCTGACAGCGTACGGGTGGACCTGCTACTACTTAAAAATTTAAATAAAATTCTCTATTCTTCAGGATTGTGTAGGGTTCAGTCCCTACTAGAACTCAGGTAATTTTGAGATGATTAGAATGCTAAAATTTGGAAGAAATAAATTTTTAATGATTTTTTTCTAAATTTCGATTGTCTGATAGCGTACGGGTGGACCTGCTACTACTTAAAAATTTAAATAAAATTCTCTATTCTTCAGGATTGTGTAGGGTTCAGTCCCTACTAGAACTCAGGTAATTTTCAGATGATTAGAATTCCTAAATTTGGAAGAAATAAGTTTTTAATAACTTTTTACTAAATTTTGATTGTCTGATAGCGTTCGGGTGAGGGTGCTACTACTTAAAAATTGAAATAAAATTTTGTATTCTTTAGAATTGTGTAAGGCTCAGTCTCTACTAGAATTTAGGTAATTTTCAGATAATTAGAATTCCTAAATTTGGAAGAAAAACATTTTTAATGACTTTTTACCAAAATTCTATTGTCTGATAGCGTACGGGTGGACCTGCTACTACTTAAAAATTAAAATAAAATTCTGTATTCTTCAGGATTGTGTTGGGCTCATTCCCTTCTAGAACTCAGGTAATTTTGAGATGATTAGAATGCTAAAATTTGGAAGAAATAAATTTTTAATGATTTTTTTCTAAATTTTGATTGTCTGATAGCGTACGGGTGGACCTGCTACTACTTAAAAATTTAAATGAAATTCTCTATTCTTCAGGATTGTGTAGGGTTCAGTCCCTACTAGAACTCAGGTAATTTTCAGATGATTAGAATTCCTAAATTTGGAAGAAATAAATTTTTAATGACTTTTTACTAAATTTTGATTGTCTGATAGCGTACGGGTGGACCTGCTACTACTTAAAAATTTAAATAAAATTCTCTATTCTTCAGGATTGTGTAGGGTTCAGTCCCTACTAGAACTCAGGTAATTTTCAGATGATTAGAATTTCTAAATTTTGAAGAAATAAGTTTTTAATGACTTTTTACTAAATTTTGATTGTCTGATAGCGTTCGGGTGAGGGTGCTACTACTTAAAAATTGAAATAAAATTTTGTATTCTTTAGAATTTTGTAAGGCTCAGTCCCTACTAGAACTCAGGTAATTTTCAGATGATTAGAATTCTTAACTTTAAAAGAAATTAATTTTTAATGATTTTTTTCCAAATTTTGATTGTCTGATAACGTACGGGTGGACCTGCTACTACTTAAAAATTGAAATAAAATTCTGTATTCTTTAGTATTGTGTAGGGTTCAGTCCCTACTAGAACTCAGGTAATTTTCAGATGATTAGAATGCTAAAATTAGAAAAAATAAATTTTTAATGATTTTTTTCCAAATTTCAATTGTCTGATAGCGTACGGGTGGACCTGCTACTACTTAAAAATTTAAATAAAACTCTCTATTCTTCAGGATTGTGTTGGGCTTAGTCCCTACTAGAACTCAGGTATTTTTTAGATGATTAGAATTCTTAAATTTCGAAAAAATAAATTTTTAATGATTTTTTTCCAAATTTTGATTGTCTGATAGCGTTCGGGTGAGGGCGCTACTACTTTAAAATTTAAATAAAATTCTGTATTCTTAAGGATTGTGTTGGGCTCAGTCCCTACTAGAACTCAGGTAATTTTCAGATGATTAGAATTTCTAAATTTTGAAGAAATAAGTTTTTAATGACTTTTTACTAAATTTTGATTGTCTGATAGCGTTCGGGTGAGGGTGCTACTACTTAAAAATTTAAATAAAATTCTCTATTCTTTAGGATTGTGTAGGGTTCAGTCCCTACTAGAACTCAGGTAATTTTCAGATGATTAGAATTTCTAAATTTTGAAGAAATAAGTTTTTAATGACTTTTTACTAAATTTTGATTGTCTGATAGCGTTCGGGTGAGGGTGCTACTACTTAAAAATTGAAATAAAATTTTGTATTCTTTAGAATTTTGTAAGGCTCAGTCCCTACTAGAACTCAGGTAATTTTCAGATGATTAGAATTCTTAACTTTAGAAGAAATTAATTTTTAATGATTTTTTTCCAAATTTCGATTGTCTGATAACGTACGGGTGGACTTGCTACTACTTAAAAATTGAAATGAAATTCTGTATTCTTCAAGATTGTGTTGGGCTCAGTCCCTACTAGAACTCTGGTAATTTTCAGATGATTAGAATGCTAAAATTTGGAAGAAATAAATTTTTAATGACTTTTTACTAAATTTTGATTGTCTGATAGCGTACGGGTGGACATGCTACTACTTAAAAATTTAAATAAAATTCTCTATTCTTCAGGATTATGTTGGGCTTAGTCCCTACTAGAACTCAGGTATTTTTTAGATGATTAGAATTCTTAAATTTTGAAGAAATAAATTTTTAATGATTTTTTTCCAAATTTCGATTGTCTGATAGCGTACGGGTGGACCTGCTACTACTTAAAAATTTAAATAAAACTCTCTATTCTTCAGGATTGTGTTGGGCTTAGTCCCTACTAGAACTCAGGTATTTTTTAGATGATTAGAGTTCTTAAATTTGGAAGAAATAAATTTTTAATGACATTTTACCAAATTTTGATTGTCTGATAGCGTTCGGGTGAGGGTGCTACTACTTAAAAATTTAAATAAAATTCTCTATTCTTCAGGATTGTGTAGGGTTTAGTCCCTACTAGAACTCAGGTAATTTTCAGATGATTAGAATTCCTAAATTTAGAAGAAATAAGTTTTTAATGACTTTTTACCAAATTTTGATTGTCTGATAGCGTTCGGGTGAGGGTGCTACTACTTAAAAATTGAAATAAAATTCTGTATTCTTTAGAATTGTGTAGGGCTTAGTCCTTACTAGAGCTTTGGTGATTTTTAGATGATTAGAAAACTGAAATTTGGAAGAAATGAAAATAAGAAATTTTCGATTATGAAATTTTAATTCTTCCATTTTTGCAATTTTTTTTATTTTGTCGCAATTATTTTTAAAACTTAATTTGTGTTTTTTATTTTAAAAGTGGTGATAATAGTATTTTTTTTGTATATCTTTTTTATTTTTATTATTTACATTTTTCAATTGGATATAAATATCCTAAAATGATCATTAAAAAACAAACATGGAAAAATGAAATTTTTATATAGAAAGATCTTTGTGTCGTTCTTGTAGGATTCTTACTAAATTTCCTTGTAAGAGAATTTTTATAAGATCCATGCGTCACAGAAAATCCTGGGCCTTAACCAGTTCCCTTAATTTTTCCTTATAAGATTTTTACTAGAATTCAATTTTTGATAAGGAAACTCAGGGAAATTTCTACATTGGAAGTGGTATTTTTTTTTGTCTTTTCGTCTTTTGGTTTTGAAAGAACGCTATTTTATGCAGTAAAAATAGAAAAAAGTGCGGAAAAGTATACTTTTTTGTATAGTGTATCCTTGTAGAGTCGATTATGTATTTTTAATTTTTTTTTCGTTTAATTATCAAGAAGAAAGATTAAATATATTTATAGCAAGCAGAGCCAGTAAAACCGTGGACGGAAATGTTTGATGCTTCCGTTGAAGGCCCAGCTTGTCCTCAACCTAATAACTCGCATACTTCTGAGGATTGTTTGCGCTTAAATGTCTATACAAATCAGGTACATCCAAGTAGTTATCGATATCTTCATGTTTTATAATTATGAAAAATTTAATTTTCATAAGCTCATAAGTTTTCTTATTTGACTCGGGCTGGTTATATTTTTTTATGTTTTTTTTTATTTTTGGTTCGTAAATTCCGTATTTTTAAATACTTTCACTGATTCGAGCCCTTTTATAGTAATTGGTTCCCTTCCAAATATAATAATATTCATTATAGGTGCCAACAAAATTTAATTTAGTGCGGAATCCAGTAATAGTTTACTTTCATCCCGGTGCCTTTTATGTTCGATCTGGTCGAAGTAATTTACAAGGACCGCAATATCTATTAGACAAAGAAGTTGTTTTGGTCACTGTAAATTATCGTCTGGCTTCTTTAGGTTTGATATAATATTCCGAAAATTATAAATACTTCCAATCATTCTAAAAAGTTTAAAGTAACTTAAAACAAGTTACTTTAAGTAAAACTTGTTCTTGTAGTCAACAACAAAACAAACATCAAAATGGAATATATTTTATTGAAATTTAGGGAGTATTTAATAATTTATTAATTACCTTTTATAGTTACTTAATTAATTTCTTAATTAATTACTTAATGGAAAATTGAACAGGTTTCATGAGCACCGGCGATTCTTTAATGCCGGGAAATCTCGGTCTTAAGGATCAAGTGGCAGCATTGCGTTGGGTTAAAAATAATATCGCTGCTTTTGGAGGTAATCCTGATTGCGTGACAATAACCGGATATAGTGCTGGTGGTTGGAGTGTAACATTACATTTGGTGTCACCAATGTCAAGGGGATTATTTCACAAGGCAATTGCAATGAGTGGTTCTGCCGTTTTTCAGAAACCATTTCCCAAACATCAGAAGAATTTGGCAATAAAGCAGGCTCAAATTTTAAATTGCCCCACTGATAATACACAAAATATGCTCAATTGTTTGAAGCAAAAATCAGCGAACGAAATTGCTAATACTTTGGAAAAATTCTCTGTAAGTAACTCTATGTTTAGTTTAAACTAAAGTCCCGCAACCATACTCTTATGTCAGAATTAGCAACATCATTTTTTTCAGTACCTTTAAATTATTCTATTTTACAATCATTTTTTTAGAATTTTTTATTAATCAATCTTTTACCTCTGAGAAATATTAATTATAGTGAAGGAAAATAAACAAAAAGAATTTTTATATTTTTCGTTCGGTTTATGATTGTTATTGTTTGATCCAATATTTTTTTTCAATTTCAAATTATTGTCGACTTTAATGGAATCGTCGAATTTTAGGAATGGAATGGGAATCCAATTTGGGTTTGGACTCCAGTAATTGAGCCAGTTGTTCCTGGTGTCGAAAGATTCCTCCCCGATGATCCGGCTAAATTAATAAGGGAAGGAAAATTCGAGCAAGTTCCTCTTATTGCTGGTGTTACTAAAGATGAATTCGGTGGTATTGTTGTATGTAAGTAAAATAAAAACTAAAAAGAAAAAATATTAAAGTTTTCAAGCTGTAAAAAAAAATTCTTTTTCAAAGTGGCGAGAGAGGAAGCTAAGAAAGGAAACTTGTCTGCAATTAACGATTGGAATACAAAATGGGAGGAAATAGCACCTATTATATTTGTTTACGAAAGAAATACTGCTAGATCTCGACGAATTAGCAGAGAATTAAACTCATTTTACAATCATGATGAGCCAATTACTGTCGATCATCTTCAAGGCATTTCAGGAGTATGAAATTTATTTTTTGTCCTACCTGCACGGAAAGTATGTCATTTCGGGCACTTAAGGCGGGCGCAAAGTAACACATTACGCCCGGGAGTGGGGGAAGCGGGCGGAAAAGTATTTTGCGCCCGCTTGTATGACGTCAGCGGGCGGTAAAGTATTTTCCGCCCGCTTCGCCTACCTCCGAGCGGGCGGAAAATACTTTACCGCCCGCTTGTTAATTATTCGATTTTCTTCATTAAAATGCGACATTTTCGACTTTCTTTTTGTGTTGACTATAAAACTGCAAACATTTTCAACTTGTTTTATTTTGTCTATAAAAATTTGCAATTTTTTTTTATTTTCTCTAAAAAAATAATGAGACATTTGGTTTTGTTCCCATTTCGTTTATCAAAATTGTCAATTTTAAAAGTTCTTGTTTCAGTTTTGTTTAATTATTAATTACTACGTTCTAAATAAATACTATGTTTCCAGAATACATTGTTTTTTATTTCTATTTTAAAACTTCTATCATTATAGACTTCATTCGATATAATGTTTATATAGAGCTTAATTTTTAACTAATATGAGCGTTTAATCGTGCGTGCCCTCTATGCCATACTTTCCATGCAGTTAGGACAAAAAATTATGTTCGCATCATGGGCGCAAAGGTGATTACGACTTTGGCGGAATTTCGGGACCTCGGGGACACTTTCGCTCCCTCGGCTTCGCCTCGGGCGCGAAATTGTGTCCCCTCGCTCCCTTCATTTCGCCATCGTCGCAATCACCTATTTTGCGCCCTTGTTACGAAAATAACTATTTTGTCCTACCTGCACGGAAAGTATGTCATTTCGGGCACTTAAGGCGGGCGCAAAGTAACACATTACGCCCGGGAGTGGGAGAAGCGGGCTGAAAAGTATTTTGCGCCCGCTTGTATGACGTCAGCGGGCGGTAAAGTATTTTCCGCCCGCTTCCCCTACCTCCGAGCGGGCGGAAAATACTTTACCGCCCGCTTGTTAATTATTTGATTTTCTTCATTAAAATGCGACATTTTCGACTTTCTTTTTATGTTGACTATAAAACTGCAAACATTTTCAACTTGTTTTATTTTGTCTATAAAAATTTGCAATTTTTTTTTATTTTCTCTAAAAAAAATAATGAGATATTTGGTTTTGTTCCCATTTCGTTTATCAAAATCGTCAATTTTAAAAGTTCCTGTTTCAGTTTTGTTTAATTATTAATTACTACGTTCTAAATAAATACTATGTTTCCAGAATACATTGTTTTTTATTTCTATTTTAAAACTTCTATCATTAGAGACTTCATTCGATATAATGTTTATATAAAGCTTAATTTTTAACTACTATGAGAGTTTAATCGTGCGTGCCCTCAATGCCATACTTTCCATGCAGTTAGGACAAAAAATTATGTTCGCATCATGGGCGCAAAGGTGATTACGACTTTGGCGAAATCACCTATTTTGCGCCCTTGTTACGAAAATAACTATATTAGTTTAATTTATTAAATATTCTTAAATTTAGAAGTAATTGGATATTGTTTGTATTTTTCAGCTTTATCGTGATTCCATCATTTCCTATTCAGTTCATCGTCTTGTCAATTTAGTGGCAGCCTCATCGTGTGCACCTGTTTATTATTATCATTTCACATATCAAGGCAGATTTAGTCACTATTTGGATCCTGAAACAAACAAACCGATTGGTAAAATATATAATTTTTACTATTTATATAAAATTATAAATACGAAGTAATAAACTCAAAAAATGTTATATTCGACTCAGAGTTTACTCAATTTTTTTATTTGTTTCAAATAAATTTTATCAAAGAAAAGTTATTCGAAGAAAAGTTTTATTTGCGGTTAAAATAAATTTTATTTAATTCAAATACAAAATTTTATTTGTAACAAATATACTTTTGTTTAACTCATATGAAAATGCTATTTGTGAAGAATTGAATTTTTATTAAATAAATAATATTTGTCCCAGAATCTACTAAATAATTTAATTGTTAAAAATAAAAATTGTATTCGTCAAAAAAAGAATTTTTACTTGACTCAAATTAAATTTATTTGAACCAAATAAAATTCATTTGAACCAAATAAAATTTATTATGAACCGAATAAAATTCCTTTGAACCAAATAAAATTTATTTGAAACAAATAATTTAGTAGACCCAGAGGAAAATATACTTTTATTGAATGCAAATAAATTATATTCGGATTAAATACAATTTTTTTCTGAGTGTCATTAGAATGAATCTCTGGTTATTAAAATATTATCCTCTGCTTTTTATTAAAATCGAATGAAATTTTATTAAATTAATTAAATATTAAAATTATTTATTGAACTTCTTTTTACAGGTGTTTCACATCATGATGATCTGATGTATATTTTCTACATCGAACAATTTCCATTTTTCAAAAGAGTCGATCCAGAAACACGAACAGTAGAACGAATGACAGCCATTTGGGAGAATTTTGCAACAACTGGAGTACCAATTGCCAAAAATGACCAACTTTTTGAAAATGTTACTTGGAAGAAATTCACTCCTGAGCGTAAACGTCATTTGGAAATTGGCGATCATCTTACAATGAGAAATGGACTTATTAATCCTGAAGAAATGAAATTGTGGGACAGATTATTCCCTTTGCCATAAATTGAATAATAACAATTTTTTTATTTTGTGATTTTTACTATATTTTACAATATTTTCACTACGTATGAGAATGAAGAAGTTTTCTTTATTCTCTGCTTAATTTATCAAAAAAACTAAAAAGTATGAATTTTTTCCCCTTTTAACATAAAAAGAAATTCCAAAGTTCGTCACTGTTAAATTCTTTCTAAACTATTTATTTCAAAATATTATTTTTGTAAAATAATTATAATAAATTTTGGAAAGTAAATTCGCTTGAAATTCATTGAATTTCAAAATAAATAACAGCATTGTAATTGTAATAAACATTTTAATTTAAACTTTCAAAAATATTATAGACTGCAAAGAAAAAGATAGGAGAAAAATTATTTTCAATGTTTCCAAAAGGAATTTAATTAATTTTGAATAAATAGTACATCTGTACATGGATATTATTTATTTAGTTATTAATTATTATTTATTAGTTAATAATAAATTTATAATAAAAAATAGTGGAAAATAGAGAAATCATTAACAAATTGTCTAAATAAATAACAAATAATTGAAATAATTATAAAAGAATAAAAAAACAATTGGGAAAATAATTAAAATAGTTAAAATAATTTAAATAATTTCCGGAAAATCCTATTGACATAAATAAAAAATACAAAAAAATATTTATTTGATGATAGACATATAATCATTTTTTTTATTCTTTTTTTTACTGTTAAATTGGTAATAATTTTTGTTTTTTTTTTGTTTTTTTGTTGTAAATTTTGCAACAGAAAAGAATATTAATTTGTTTACAGATGGTAACGATGAAAGCTTACCGAATGCGGGTAAGAAATTCTCTTTTTGCTTCGCTATTCGGAGAATATAATCGACTGGTAAATAAAAATAATTTCAAGTTGGTAAAAAAATGCATTTGTGATAAAATTTACTAATTCAAAACAAAATGTAAAATTTACTTATACATTGAAAAAAATTACTATTTGTCAATAAAATTTACTAATAAGTTTTTTTTCATTATAGTCAGACTTGATTTTTTATAAACTAATTTTAAGTAGTACAAAATAATTGTTGTCATATAACGAAAAAAAATGTTGTAAAAGGAACAAAAAAATGGTTTTTAAGTTGTAAAAATCAATTTTAGTCAGACAAAGAATATTTAATAGAATATATTTAGAATATAAAATTTAGAAAAACTACAAAAGAATATTTTGGTTTCGTTTCGAATTGTTATCAGTAGAAAAAGTCTGTTACAGCCAGACATAGATCATTTAAGAAATTCTATTCTGAGAAGCACAAAAAATATATTTTAAATCGAATTTTCAGTAGTACAAGTCAGTTATTGTCAGACAAGAAGAAAGCTTCGTTTTTTCATGTATCAATTTTCAGAGGTCAAACAGTCAGTCTTTGATTATTTTTTAAACTTTATTTCGAGTACTCTATGTCATCTTTAGTCAGACAAGAACAAATTTAAGTCAGAAAAAAATTTTTAAAATGCTTTTTTCAGTAGTAACAGTCAGTCATTAAATATTTTTAAACCTTATTTCAAGTAGTGTAGCACTTGAAGTCAGAAAAAAAATTTTTAGTCAGAAAAAAAAGAAAAAATGTTTTATTCAGTAGTAAAAGTCAACTTTAGTCAGACAAAGAATATTTATAATTATTGTTTTGATATATTATCAGTAGAAAAAGTCGATTACAGCCAGACATCTATATTTATAATTTAATACAATATATTCTGAGAAATAGAAAAAAGATATTATAAATCGAATTTTCAGTAGTGCAAGCCAGTTGTTGTCAGACAAGAGAAAAACTTCGGTTTTTCAAGAAACAATTTTCAGCTGTAACACAGTCAGTCACTGAATATTTTTAAACCTTATTTTGAGTAGTGTATGTCATTTACGATCATACAAGAAAAAATTTTAAGGCAAAAGAAAATTAAAAAAAAATTTTAAGTAGTAAAAATCAAATTCAGTTTGGACAAAGAAAAGTTATTATTGTGATTGTTTCTATTTATTTAACAGTAGAAAAAGTCCGTCACAACCAGATATTTATAATCAAATAAATTCTTTTCTGAGAAACACAAGAAATATATTTAAAATCGATTTTTCAGTAGCGTATGTCATTTGTTGTCAGACAAGAAGAAAACTGCGATTTTTCAGGTATCAATTTTCAGAAGTCAAATAGTCACTAATTGTTTACTTTTGAATTCTATAATTTTAAGTAGAGAATGGCATCTGTAGTCAGACAAAAAAAAATGTAGTCAGAAAAAAATAAAAAAAAATGTTTTTTTTAAAGTAGTAAAGATCAATTTCAGTCAGGCAGAGAATATTTGAAATGATTGTTTTGATTTATTATCAGTGGAAAAAGTCTGTTACAACCAGACATTTATAATTTAATAAATTCTATTCTGAGAAACACAAAAAATATATTTTAAATCGATTTTAAATCGAGTTTTCAGTAGTGCAAGTCATTTGTTGTCAGACAAGAAGAAAACTTCGGTTTTTAAGCAACAATTTTTAGTAGTAACACGGTGAGTCATTGCTTATTTTATAAACCTAATTTTGAGTGGTGTATGTCACCTATAGTCAGACAAAAGAAATTTAAGTCAGAAAAAATGAAAAAATTCTTTTTTCATTAGTAAAAATCAATTACAGTCAGACAAAGAAAGTTATGATATATTATCAGTAGTAAAAGTCAATTACAGCCAGACATATGTATGTATTTATATTTTACAAGAAAAAATTTTAGACAAAAAAAAATGACTAAAAAAAGGTTTATTTCAGTAGTAAAAGTCGATTATAGTCAGATACAGAATTTTTAATGTTTGTTTGGATTTGTTATTGTCAGTAGAGAAATTCCGTTACAACTAGACATCTATATATAATTTAATAAATTATATTGTGAGAATCTTAAAAAAGATATCTTAAATCGATTTTAAATCGTGTTTTTAGTAGTACAAGTCATTTGTTGTCAGGCAAGTAGAAAGCTTCGATTTTTTTCAGATATAAATTTTCACTTATAAGCCAGACAATGATTATTTTTCATACCTAATTTTGAATTGTTAATATCATCTGTAGTCAGACAAGAATAAATTTTAGACAAAAAAAATTTTTTTAAATTTTGCAAATAGTAAAAATTGCTTTTAGTCAGACAAAGAATATTTACAGTGGTTATTTTCAATTTATTATGCCAGTCAAAAATATCAATAACAGTTGGACATCCATAATTTAATTAATTATACTTTGAGAAATCCAAAAATGCTTCCATCCTCAGTAAATATTGGACATTAATTCTCTGAGTCCTGTAAACTGGAAGCAAAAATTTTCCTTTTCATTATTAAGCTTATTTCTTAATTAAAATTCTAACTGTTTACAAAAAAAGTTGATTTTGTAATTTTGTAATTTTTTTTAAGAGTTATTGTGTAAACGATTTATGCCTAATTTCTAATGAAAACAAAGTTTTGCTTCAATTTCTCTTAGATTTACAGATGAATAGCATTAACAATTAAATTTGATGAAAATATAATAATAAAAGAATAAAACGTTTTTAAAACTTGTTTCAATAATGTCACTTTCATAGAGACAACATTAAAACGACTATTTCATCTTTTTCAGTAGAAAAATTCAATTTTAGTCAGACATAATTATTTTTAATTTTCTTAGTAGTACAAGTCAATTATAGACAAAAAACAATTCTCGGTAAAAACTACTTTTGTTCCAGACAAAAATAAAAAATAAATCAATTATTATTTTAGTAGAGAAAGATAATTTTAGTCAGACCATACCGATACAGAGTCAGACATAATATTCTTTAAAAAATTATTATTAGTAGAATAAGTCAATATTGAACAGATAAACTGAAAAACAGTGTTTTTTAGTAGAAAAAGTCAATCTTAGCCAGACAAACTGAAAAGCAGTGTTTTTTAGTAGAAAATGTCAATTTAAGTTAGACAAACTGATACACAGGATATATTGAATTATCAGTAGTAGTGGTGGTCATTTTTGAGTACGAAATCATATTTTTTTAAATATTATTAGTAGTGTTAACGACCGTCAATGCTCGTCGGTGGATAAGGAGGCAAATAATTGATTGATAACTTTGGTAGAAAAAATGTTTATTATTCACTCTGAATTTACAATATTTATATTTAAATTGTTAACACAAAAAACCACTGAAATAGTAACAAATTAGTTGTAGGGATATTCAAATGCCACGCGGCGTCATCCCTTGTTAGGATATCCCATATGTCCCTGCGGACGTCATCCTTCACATCAGATGGTGCGAACGTAACTGAAAGGATACAAATCGAGGTGTTACCCTCACTTTCCATTTCCCTTTCCACCAGAATCTGCAAAAGAAAATTTATCACAAAGGGCAGCGACCCTTTTCGGCGCCAAGGTACCATAAACCATCGTTCAGGTCAAAAATGAACCAGCGAGAATAACGAAACAACATAAAACAAACAATGTAATACAAAACGAACCTAGATAATAAAATTAAACAATTTTTAACGAAAACTCGAATTCAACATCAAAAACTTTTTAATCGTTAACATTCTCCCCCCCAGTACGGAAAGACACATTTTCTGTACTTTTAGCAGGAACTATCACAATGAGATTGGCGGTTGACCTCCTAATCCGTTTACCTCTTGATTCGACTTCCGCCGAACGTATTCTCCCGTCTTTGCCCGGAATAATCTTCCTTATTATTCCTCTGGGCCATGAATTCCTGGGCGAAGTTGCATCGACGATTAACACTAAGTCACCTACTTCCAATGCTCGAACCTCTTGTGACCAGCATTTTCTCGCAACGAGGTTGGGCAAATACTCCCTTATCCAACGGGCCCAGAACATATCGGCCAACCGTTGGGAGATTCGCCACGTTTTTCGGGAATATAAATCGTGATCAGAAAACCTTCCAGGTACCGTTACTCCTGATGAGGAACCGAGGAGAAAATGGTTCGGTGTTAGGCTCTCATGGTCTTGGTGGTCCATTGATAGATGTGTGAGAGGTCGACTATTAATTGTATGTTCTACCTCCGTCAGCAGCGTGCTCAACACTTCCTCCTTCGGAGCCCTCGAATTAAGTATAGCGTTTAGCGCTATCTTTACACTTTTAACCATCCTCTCCCATGCACCTCCCATATGCGGCGTTCCCGGAGGTATGAAGCGCCATTTTATTCCCCGATTCGTCATCTCATATTCGAACAATTCATAATCGATCTCTTTAACCGACCTTTGCAGTTCCGAATTAGCACCGACCATATTCGTACCGTTATCTGAAAATATTTCACTTGGATTTCCGCGCCTAGCCATCATACGTCTTAATGCCAATATGGCGGAGTCCGTGGACAGCGACGAAGCCATCTCTACGTGGATCGCTCTAGTTGTGAGGCATGTGACAAGTACTCCCCATCGTTTTTCGTGTCGCCTACCCACAGTAACCGTCATTGGCCCAAAGTAGTCTAGACCGCAAAAACTAAATGGTCTGTGGTGATGCCTTAGCCTTTCTACGGGTAAGTCACCCATTCTAGGTATCAGGGGTTTCGATTTTCGGACGCGGCACCATTGACATCGGGATACTACTGATCTAATAGTTGCACGTAACCCTAAAATCCAATATTTTTGTCTTAGTTCATTTACTACGATCTCAGGATTCGCATGACCGAACTTCTCGTGATGACTTTGTATCAACAACCTGGAGTAGCGGTGCTTTCCGTCTAATATGATTGGTGACTTCGCGTTTTCAGGTATTCCTTCAGCTGAATTTATTCTTCCATCCACTCTAAGGATTCCTTCCCTTTCGTCCATCAAAGGGGTAAGATTAACAAGCCGACTATCTCTCGATAATGGTATCTTGTTTCTTGTTTGGTACAATTCTTTAGCGAAACAAACTTGTTGAACTTCTTTTATCCACAATAGTTCAGCTTTCTCTAAGTGTTCTGGGTCGAGATGAAGATTTCGTTCGCCTTTCCAAATACGGGGCGAAAGGAGTATCCACGCGGTGCAACGTATTAGACATAGCCACTTTGAGATGTGATTGATATTGGGTAGTATGCGATCATCGTTACATTTTAGAACAGCAGAAAATTCTTGTTTAAGTTCTACTGTACGTGATTCATCGGGTTTTATATCTTGTTGTTTCGGCCAGCACCTTTCGTCCTTTTGTAGATATGAAGGACCATTAATCCATCTTTTCATGTGACTTTCTATTTTTCCGGAACCTTTAGTCGAACTATCTGCTGGGTTTTCTCTAGAAGGCACCCATCGCCATTCATTTGGATTTGTAATTTCGTCAATTTCACCAAGACGGTGGGCAACAAACATTTCGTATTTTAGGGGATCTGTTTTAATCCAAGCAAGGACAGTGCGGGAGTCAGTCCAAAAAATACGTTTTTTTATGTTCAATCTCATTTCTTCAGTAATTGTTTTCGCCAACCGACTAGCAATAAGGGCTCCTTGTAATTCCATCCTTGGGATTGACATTTGTTTTAGTGGTCCTACTCTGGCCTTTCCGACAATAAATGACACGTGGTGTTCACCGCCTATATCAGTCGATCGTAAGTAGGCCACGGCTGAATATGCCTTATCACTGGCATCGCTGAACACGTGGAGCTCTAGATTTCCCGGATTTTTCATTGTATTAAAGTAGTGTCTTGGGATTCGGTAGTCTTCCATCTTCGTCAAATCTGCAATCCATTCCTGCCACTGGACGTATTCGTTCTTGAGCAATTCTTCGTCCCATCCTATTTTGCTACGCCAAACATTCTGAAGCAATAACTTTCCTTTAATGGTAAAGGGTAATAATATACCTAGAGGATCGTAGATTGACATTATAACTGCTAACATCTGTCGTTTGGTTACTCGTCTCGTTTTTTCGGCAGTAGTCATTGGCAACTTCTGCGTGTTTAAATTAAATGAAATCTTGTCAGTATCTAAATCCCACTTCACCCCGAGGGCCCTCTCTACATGATCCTTTGTCAAGTCGACTGTAGCACAAACATTTTTCTCGATTGCCAGTGCCTTTATTAGTTTCTCGCTATTACTGACCCACCCTCTGATTTCAAAACCCCCCTGTTCTTGTATCTCAATTACTTCTCTTATCTTCTGTACTGCTTCCTCTACCGTGTCCTCACTGTCCAAATAATCGTCAACGTAATGATCATTTTGGATCGCGTGTACAGCCGAGGGATATTTGTTTTTATACTCTTGAGCATTTCTATTCATAATATACTGCGCCGTGCAGGGGGAAGAGGTAGACCCAAATATAAGGGAAGTCATAACGTATGTCTCAGGTTCGTTTATCCGATCCATGCCGCGCCACAGGAACCGTTGGGCATCTTGGTCATCCTTACGCATTTTAATTTGGAGAAACATTTCACGAATATCACCCATAAAGGCGATTTTTTTTCTTCTGAATCTAATGAGCACACCTATTAATGAAGGAACTAATGCTGGACCTGATAGTAAATTGCCGTTCAATGAAGTTTCTGCAAATTTAACCGCTGCGTCAAATACCAGCCGGATCTTTTTAGGTTTGTTGGGATTAACGGAACCGAAATGTGGTAGATACCAGATACGTTTACTCTCGCTTTCTTTGTTTTCGAGTTTCCGCGCGTATCCTGCATTTAAAAGATGTTCCATCTGTTGACAGTATCGTTTTCCGTATTCGGGATCCCGATCGAGCTTACGTTCTATCGACATTAACCTATTCAGAGCGACCGTTCTATTATTGGGCATTCGAGTATTTTCGTCCTTCCATAATAACCCTGCTTCCCAACCCTTGTTTATCCTTTTAGTGGTTTTTAATAATATTTCTTCTGCTTTGATATCTAACTTATTTCTGCGAGTAGCACCGCTAATTCCTATACACTCTAAACTAAAATGTGATTTTACTAATTTATGTAATTTATCATCTGCTTGTACTTCCGACTCTTTTCTAAACCCGAGTTCTTTTATCGTGTAACATGTACTAGTATTATTAGCGTTCTCTGGAACTTGCCCGTGTACTACCCACCCCAATTTGGTAAGCGAGGCTGCAGGTAATTGGCGCATTTTAGCAACAATTTTAATGGGTGCGATTAAGTCCCAATGGTCTTGACCTATCAAGAGTGTCGGTACCGCGTTTTGATATGATTCGATCGGCAACCTTGATATATGCGGATATCGTTTTAGTATGTCGTTTCCCAAAGATTGACTTGGGAGTTTGAGGTTTGTTAACGTTCGGGCGTTAGTTATAGAGTGAGTAATATTGCTACCCACTGCACTGATTTTAAACGAAACTCGTTTGCTTTCTTTATCTTTAATTCTAAGATCGTCGACAGTAACTAATTCTAATGATTCAATTAAACCTTTGATCCCAACAGTTTTTGCTACCTGAGCATCTAACAGGGTTATCGTTGATCCTTCGTCCATGATCATAAAGACACTAATCGATTTTAGAGGTCCATATAACTGCACCTTTCCTATTTTTAAGAGTACGCGTTTATTATTGCCTAGTCATATATCTGGCTGTTTTGTTCTCGACGAATTTAAGGCCTCCTCGCGCAATTTTGACGTTTCAGAATCTACCGATTTGTTCTTCACCCGGTGTAATAAAGGATGATGCGTCCCCCTACATTTAGCGACACTACAACCCATTTCGCGGCATTTACCTTGTCGATGTTCGTTACTGATTAAACAACGAAAGCAAACACGATTCTCACTCGCCCAATTCCATCGATCTGATATAGATAATTTAGTAAATTTATCGCAGTCAGTCACGCGGTGTGAAGCAGATTCGCAATAACCACATTTTGCCTTACTTTCATTCGTGTCGACGTTCTCTTCACTTGTTAGGTAAACCCTTTCTTTATTTGGTTTATGATCCCATCGAGTTCGTTTACGGGTATTCTTCCTTTCCGGACTAGACTCGCGGGCGCGACTGTGACTCGGTGTCGGAGTAATTTGAACAAGGCCAGCCTTGCAGGCCAATTTAGCTTCGTAAAATAAATAATCTGATAGCGTTACCATAGCCGGTTCTAAAGAGTCACTCTTCTTGCTTACGAAGTGCGCGTAATTGTGGACCATTGTGCTTGGCATTTTGTAGGTTATTTCTCGAACTAATTCCGGACTGTGCAAATACCCTACATGATTCGCTGCCTGTAATGCGGCTACGCAATTTTTAACTATTGTCGCGAAAGAAATTAGATCTCCGTTAACGCCTTGTATTATGGGTAATTTTTTCAAATCCTTTATTATACGATCTGCTATTGTACCAGGATTTCCAAATCGTAGATCCAACAATTCCATTATGGGTTGGGTATGATTACTCGTTAACATTAACGATGCGACCGCTTCTTTAGCGGCACCCTTCAAGGATTCATTCAACCTAACCATATTCTCCTGTTCGGTATAACCAATTTTCGACGTGGTTTCCTCAAATAACCTTTTAAAACCCGGCCACTCGAGTACATCTCCATCGAACGTGGGTAAATTTTTTCCGAGGGACATACGTTTAATTATATTTTGGGTTGTACTTTCGCCAGTGGCATTGGTACGCGCTTCTTTAAAGGTTTGCGATAGTTCTTGTGTGAATTTCCGTAAGCTATCTCTAATAGTGACGCTAATCTGATCATCTACTCTTTGTCCTTCCCGGGTTGTTTGTCTCGGTCTAGTGTTATCTCCTTCGTTACTCTCTATCCACGCGCGAATTGATTCATCCCGACGTATTACAGCAGTTGAATCAACATTAGAACAAGTGTCTTCCTCCGACTCAGCCAACTGAACGGCTAACTCCGCATCAATCACGTTAATTTCAAGTCGTGCCGTTTCTTCTAACACGCGTTTCTGGACTGCTAATCGCTTTCTGGCCGCTTCTAACTCTAACTCTCTCTTTCTCTTTAGAGAAGTATTAGTCATAATCGAAGACGTGTTACTTCGCGCATAGTGAGATACCGTTGAACCAACTCGAAGTGTATCACTTACACTACCCGATCGAGAAAGTCCCGTCAGGTCGTTATCCGGGGCATCAAGAGATTCTGTCGGGCCAACCCGAACTGTATCGGCCCCAGCAGCTGGCTGAGTTGGTCTCGACGAAAGATTAGTGTTAATAAACTTATTTTGACTTACCAACTCCTTGTTCGCGCGACTCACCTCCTCAGCAGCTGGCCGTCCCTTATCGATCTCCTTGTCTTGCGGCATCTCTCCACGTGCTTGCGTTTTTGAGGTTTCCATCACTAACACTTACTTTTAACGAATTAACACAGAATCGAGTTCAATCTACTAAACTTTATTTGCTCCTCCTCCGAGCAACGAGCTTCACCCGGCGCCTCCACCAAATGTTAACGACCGTCAATGCTCGTCGGTGGATAAGGAGGCAAATAATTGATTGATAACTTTGGTAGAAAAAATGTTTATTATTCACTCTGAATTTACAATATTTATATTTAAATTGTTAACACAAAAAACCACTGAAATAGTAACAAATTAGTTGTAGGGATATTCAAATGCCACGCGGCGTCATCCCTTGTTAGGATATCCCATATGTCCCTGCGGACGTCATCCTTCACATCAGATGGTGCGAACGTAACTGAAAGGATACAAATCGAGGTGTTACCCTCACTTTCCATTTCCCTTTCCACCAGAATCTGCAAAAGAAAATTTATCACAAAGGGCAGCGACCCTTTTCGGCGCCAAGGTACCATAAACCATCGTTCAGGTCAAAAATGAACCAGCGAGAATAACGAAACAACATAAAACAAACAATGTAATACAAAACGAACCTAGATAATAAAATTAAACAATTTTTAACGAAAACTCGAATTCAACATCAAAAACTTTTTAATCGTTAACAAGTAGTACAAATCAATATTATTCAAAGTTAAGAAATATAGTGTTTTTTCAGTAGAAAAATTAAATTTTAGGCAGACAAACTGATACAGACATGACTATTTTAAATTTTAATATTAGTATAAGTCCGTTATAGGTAAACCAATTACATTCCAAAAAGGGTATTTTACTATTTTTCAATTGTAAAAGTCGTTCTTCTTTCAAACAAAAATAAAAGAACTCAATTTTTATTTCAGTAAAAAACGCCAATTTTACTTTGGAAAAACTGATACAGAAAATTTACTCAATTATTATTGGTAGTGGTGGTCACTGTTGAGTAAGGCATAATATATTTTAACAATTTATTATCAGTAGTATAAATCAATGTTAGAAAGACAAGCTTAAAAAAATAGTGGATTTTCAGTAGAAAAAGCCATTTTTAGTCAGACAAATTGATTCACAGGATTTATTGAATTATTATTTGAAATAAATCGTCACTTTTCATTCCGAAATCATATTTTAATAATTTCATATAAGTGGTACAAATCATTATTATTAAAAATCATTAAAATCATTATTATTATTAAAAATAAAAAAAAATAATTTTTATTTCAGTAGAAAAAGACAATTTTAATCAGACAAAATGATACACAAGATTTATTGAATTATTATTCGTAGTAGTATAGTTACTTTTTAATCTTAAATCCTGAATAGTAGTAAAATTCATCTATGTTCAGACAAAAATATAAGAATATATGTTTTTCAGTAGAAAAAGTCCATTTTAGTCAGACATAACTATTTGAAATTCCATTATTAGTGTAAGTTCGTTATAGAAGAAGAAATGTAATGTGAAGAAATGGAGAACAAACGTTTCTTTAGTAGGGGAGACCGGGGCGTAATGGCTAACTTTTCACTCTTTGTTGTTTTACTCGGACATTTTTGTTCTAATTGAATGTTTATCTTCCAGAAAATTTACTCTGGTATCTCAGCTTTCTTTTAAGACTACAAACGTCCCGATATGACTCTTACTTTTTATTCTACAACAGTTTTTCTGGAGCAATGCAGAGCTCCAAAATACGGCCCGAGTCGGGGCGTAATGGATAACTCCCGGGGCGTAATGAATAATGATTGCTAATTATTATCTACAGTTTCCAATCTTATTGCATATTGTAAATTAAGATTCCTGGGTATTCCGTGAATGCTATTTTTATTCAGCAATACTTCAACTATCGCTTTTTCAATAATATTCTGTGATATTGGCACTCTCTCAATTTTTTTTGTAATTTCTCATTAAAATCGTAGCTTGAAATCTACTATTTGTAAATTTTAGACCAAAGCTTTAAAATTTTGTTAAAAATACCTAAACATACTTAAACTAAGTGACAAGCAATCGCGGAAAACAAACCTACACTTCGCCGATATGGTAGGTTGCTTTTTATACATAGCGTATTGCATTAGCCAACACGCCCCGGGAAAAACTAGCCATTACGCCCCGGGGGTACTCGGCAAATATTTGGCTTTTTTTTAACAATACCGGAAGTGTGAATCAAAAATCTCGAATTGTCCCTTAAAAACAAACGTGTCAAGATCGAAACCTCATTTCAGTTTTTTTTTAAAAGCTATTTTTGAAAAAAATAGAACGAAAAAACGAAAATTTTGAAAAGTTACTTTCGTATGTCAAAAATAGTTTTTCTACTATATTTCTTACAATAATGAATAAATATTAATGAAACTTCCGACAAACTTGCAGTATACCAAGTACAATAACTTGTCTATTGTGCGAAATTATTACAATTTACGGTTTTTAAACAAATTACAATTATTCATTACGCCCCTTAGCCATTACGCCCCGGTCTCCCCTACTGAACATTAATTTTTGTCAGACAAGTTTTGCAACATTTTCACGAAAAAATAACCAAAATTTTGGAAATTGACAGTAAAATAAATATACCAAATTTTAGAAATTCTAAAAAGGAATACTTTATTTTTGAAAAAGTATTAAGTAGTAAAAGTGAATTGCAATTAAAAAATAGAAAGCAAACAGACACTCAATATTTTAAATACTTGTTTATCAGTTGCCTAAGACAATTTTGTTTATATAAAAATAGAAAATATTATTTTTTGTTTATTTAGTAGTAAAAGTCATTTTTTGGTCAGACAAAGTTAAAAATTAAAATTTTCAAAATTTGTGGTAAAATAAATTATTTTAGTAAAATAGATTTTTCCAACATTTTAGTAGATAAAGTCAGTTTCAGTCAGACGGAAATAGAAAATTAATTTCTTAATTTTCAGTAGCAAAATTTAATTTTAGTCAGTCAATGAAATAAAATCAATTTTAGTCAGACTGTGTAAATTTACACATCAGAGAAGAGTAAAGCTGTAATAGAAAAAAAAGTTATATCAACTAATAAAAGAACAAATTTGAAGCAATAAAGATGTAAAAAAAATTAACAGCATATTTTACAGACTAAAAAATATTTTAAAATTTGTATTTAAAATTTTTTTATTAAGTAATATAAATAAGTAGCAACTGTCACGCCCGCCAAATGAAGTATTTAATTTATTATTATTATTACTAAAAAAAAAATTCAATTATCTTTACAAAA